CCCCAAAACCCCAAAACCCCAAAACCCCAGGTTAACAAATAATGACTACATATAGAGCACCTTAAATAGACATTAATTTGTTATAGATATATAATTAACTTAGAAATTATGATGTAGTCAATACATTATTATCTCTTCCTTATCACAATCTTTATTCTAGCGTTGATTAAATGAATCTGTTGTATTCTAACAAATCCAAAAAGTTGAGATTCTGCGGAAGCATTTAGCTTCCGGGTTTACTTAAAGCTCGTTTGCACTGTCTTGTGCTCATGTGCTATTAGTTCATTCTTAAAGCTTTCTCTCTTTAAATGCAGCATCCTGCATAGTAGCTCACCAATTGATTTGAACTTTCTAGATAGGTTCCATATATCTTTTATTACTAAGGGTCTTCATGAGTCTAACTTTAAAGTTTCAGTAATATAGCATGTGATTTTTCTTAATAATCAAGAGCCGTTCTAAGCTCGTCCAAATGAAAGTAAGTTACCGCTATAGCCGAGTAGCATGAAGCTATTTAAATATTTTCCTCTCCCATTAAATCCTTAAATCTAATTATCGCTTCAAAAAAGGAATCTAGCGCTTCATAAAGCATGTCAAGTTCTTAAAATAGGTAGCCCAGAGTTACATAAGTTGCAGCAATGTCTGGATGATTTTCACCTTCTACTACAGTAAAGATCAGAATTGCTTTTTCTAGCAGCTATATTGATTTTTCATGCTCTTGGACTTGCTAATAATACAATGCTAATGTTGAGATCGCATAGGCAGTTGAGCTGTGATCTATTCCAAATAGCACTGTTGAAATTTAAATAGCTTTTATTTACAGATCGATTGCCATATTAATATCACTTTGAAGATATATGATCCTTGACATTCTCTAAAGACAATCAAAAGCTTCTTTCTAGAGTGGACCTTATAATTGTACATGGATACTGACACATTAAGCATATAAATCGAAAGCAACTTCTTATAGATTATCCTTGAAGGCTTTATTAGCTTAAGCCATGATATTATCAACTTCTATGTTCTAATGACTGATCTATTTAACATTGGGTAAAAATTCAATGATATTGGTATATTGAAATGGAAGCCATTCATATTATGGGTTGAGATCAAAACATAGATTTTAAACATTTTCAAGGTGATAATCCTTCTGCTCAATTGTAATTCCAAAGATTTTACAAATTTCTCACAGTATTGAATACTTATTGAGAGTAGACTATAGGATGTTAATTGCTTTCATTCCCTGTTCACATATGAAGCTATAATTATAACGAGCTTTTGATATTAAGTTAAGTAATTCAAAGAGAGAATCTGGAGTAATATCCTTGAATAATATATCACTTTCCTTTTTGGAATCTAACTGCTAAAAGAGGTTGTTCTCATTTTAAACACTAAAGTATTTGCTATCTTAATTAATTATCATTTCATCATTAGGAATGGCAGAAATCTCTTATAAATCTGATATTTGGGAACTAAATTGAGATCCTTTTCTTGATGATGATTGATTAATTGTAGATTTATTTGACCAATCACTTGACTTTTCACAGTCAGTGCTAATTACACATTGCAATGAAGAAAATTCTATTGTATTTTAGCTAACATTGCTAGATTTTTTACTGTCACTAGATTCTAATTTAGTTTTCTTCTTCTTATTTTTGCCCTTCTTTTTATTTTATTTCTTTGAAGCAGCTTTTATCCTTTCTTGTTCTTCTTGTAGAATTAGAAAGTCTAACTCACTTAAGTGCTAGTTACTCTCAAACTCAGTTTATTCCTCAGAATCAGAATCCTATGAATCATTAAGCATCCTATGCTATATTAAAAGCTAGTCATTTAAATAGGACTAAGTTAATTGGATATAGTTATCGTTTAAAAGATCTCTAAAAATATGATTGAAATATTAATTACATCATTATATGAGAACTAAAGATACAATTAAGTAGATGTGTAATCAGTGCCTATTAATTGTAACAAGAATTAGTATTTAGCACATTGATGATTGAATGCTTTATTGATCTTATGAAGATTTCCTTTTCAAGCAAGAAGTCAATATGCTTGAATCTTAAATTCTTCTCTTGGCATTCTTGTCTGAATTTAGTCAACACTAATCCAAGATATCGCATATTGACTCCATGAAAATGGAAAATGCTAGTAAGTGACTCAGAATCTGTAGGTCCTCCCTCTGGAACCATTAAGCCATCCTTTATAAGAGAATTTATTGCTTGACTTTTTAAGAAACAGGCCAATACCTTATTTTCTTAGTCTAATAATTAGTTACAAATTAAAATAATTACAATCTGATTCATCTACATTCAAAGATTGTTATTTAGTGTAAAGAGTAGAGTTGTATTTTAATATCGATTCTGTTAATTCTCCAAATTTTGCTAGGGTTTTTAGTGGAATTTTTGGATTCATTTTGCTTAGATTAAATAGTTTAATCAATCGATCTCTAACGATACAAGATGCATGAGAATTAATACTCTCAAAATTTCCATCTCGTATTTATAATCGTAGAAGATCAATTACATATTTTCTCTTATCAGTTCCCCTAATTCCTTTAATTTCTGGTGATCCATAAATTTCTTTAATTAAGCCAGACTAGTCTGCAATTTTAACTTATTTTAAACCTATCTTATTACAAACTTTCTGCATAATTTCATGATACTATATTTATATTAAAAATTTTTAGAATTTATTTACATCTGAAGAATCTCCTATATTAATGTTATTGTTGCTTGACCCATATTCGCATTAAACCTCCTATGATGAGAAACTTAAAATTCCAGGCATTATTGATTAGCAAACTATTCTTGAACCCATAAATTTGACTAAACATGTTGCTAATGTATATAGACCATCGATGTCAAGATTTTCTAATTTTTGAATTCCATTTAAATCTCCATTAACAGCAGCATAAGTTGGAATATTATCCTCTAAATTCTCAGCTATTTAATATTTATTACAATGATATTCTTACTGAAATCAAATGGTGAATCAGCACAGTAACTGAAAAAGATATTATTATAGATGTATATCTGTTAGAGTGGTGGATCATTAGGATTCAAAGCTGACACATTTCCTTGAATGACCTTGACAGCTCCCTATATTGTTTTAATCAATTATGAAAATTACAATCTTTGCGCATTCAACGAAATCTGAATATATTTTCTAGATTGTTCTTTTTCTCTAAATTCTTTGCATTTGAGTGTCTTTTGGTAGCTCCTTACACTGTTAATATTCATCATTCCATTCTCTTGTAGATCCATGTTTGAAATCCAATCCATAAATCCCAGTTTCATATTCTTTGTTGGAAATGAGTTCTTCATTTTGATAATTTATCTTCTTATTCTCATTATAGTAATCCTTAAATGACTTAAACCACTATTGTTTTTGATTGATGCCTCCACATTTAGTCAGAGCTTTATATGGATCATGCTTACAAAGTTATTTCAAATGATTCTCGAATTGCTTCCTATCATATTTTCAATTACAATGAATGGCTTACTTAAAAACTTTAGAAATATGGCATAGTAAACCAGGCAGAGTATAAGATGTCTTCAATGTGCTATCATCAGATATATAAAAACCAGATTCACAAGCAATTACTTGATATTCTTATTTTTCTATTGTTACAAAGATCTTGTAAAAATAACTTTTTTAGATGTCCCTTCTTTGGCAGTCATTTTCGCACTTTTCCAATTGGATCTTTTGGAGAACCTTGTTTATTTGCTCGTTATTTTGACTCCTATTTTTATCTGTTGGCTTTTCATTGATCAAATTAAGGATATTGTGCTGTGACACATTAAGTAAAAGTTTTGAACTTTAAATCTTGGGAACTTTTAATTTTTCCTAAATCAATTAATAATTAAATTTACTCTTAATTAAGAATATGGATGTGTTAAAGCTATAGGATTTTAAGATCTCTTCAAATTTAGTAAAGGATTCATCATATTTTTCTTGTTATTTAGTGGATTTTATGGTCTATTTAAAGCCTAATTTCCCCATAAGTATCTTAGAAATATAATATCATCATTTAGCAGAAGTTATTACTCATCTAGATATCCATCATTTTAGTATGAATCATATTGATCTAAATACAAACTTAAACAAAAGAAAATACTGTCAAAACTCTAGTCACTATTTGCTGAAGATTTCCTGCTATCTAAAAATGATGAGGAGGAACTTTGATTTATGTTTTCTCTTTGTTACTAATTTCTCAACTAAGTCTGATCATTCAATTCACCAATATCTATTTAATTTATTTAATTGAAAGTACCTTGTAATGATTCGAGCTGAAAATTCAGTATACAGTTATCTCCACATAAAATTTCTTTGAATCTTACTATATGCTGTCTTATCTTCTTCTCTGTATACTTACCTAATAAGATATCATTACTCTGTTAATCTTACAAGGTCTCATGTGAAATTTGATTAGATATTCGATTTAATTTTGCCTTTTGTTTCCATTTAAGGTTTACTATTGATGCTGCTGATATTAGTTATTGGCAAAGGATTGATTCATTCCCAAATTGATTTGTGCTTAAGCAAAGAAATCTTTAAAGTTGAAATTGTTCTATCCAGATGACTCTTATTTTGACTGATATTCAGAAATAATATTTTTGAATTCATAAAAATCGTTGAGTTCCTTTCCCTCGTATTCAAAGTAATAGTTTGTCATGAAACAAGTCTTGATATAATCTCTGAGATATTCCCGCAGTTCAATTATCATTTCAAACTGTGATTATTGATAGTCTATTAATATCAAGTTCTAATTCAAATCTACTATTCCGATAGTAATTTTTGGTTGCTTCTAGTCGGAATAATCGAAATAGGAGTACTAAGTAGCCATAGTTATTTTTGATTAGAGAGTAAATAAAAAGTTAGAACGAGAGTCTTGTGTTGAGTCAAATCTCTTTATAAAATAATAATATTTGGACCGCATATAAATTTATATCTCTTTTGAACTCATGGTCAGCAATTGATCCTGACTTATGGGGTTTTGGGGTTTTGGGG